GCTCGTTTACATTTCAAAATATCAAAAAACATTTAATAATCCAATGTAATTCTGATATTTAGTAATATTATGAGATGGAAGTTGTTATATTCATTAAAGTTTCTGTACAAAATGAAAATGTTTTGGAGTCAATATATTTTCCTCTTTTTTTGTTATTTTAGGATGTAAAACATATTTTTCAAACTTTAATGAACGTAGAACAAGTATTGCATTGCTTTATATTTTTTGAAATGACTCATAATAATTTTAAAGAGTAAAACATTGTTTTAGTTTAATATTTTTTCTTTATTTAAGTCATGTCATAAGGCATTTTTAGCACATTTATCGCATTTTTAAGGGCATTTTTTGCACTTTTTAAGGGTGTTCTTGTCTTTTATTGACAATAAGTAAATAAACGTTTTCTGACTCCATAGTACTTTTATTAAGGTTCCAGCTATTCAATTTAAACATTATAATTCATTAGATCTTATTCAGTAACAACATGTGTGTTTATAGGAGAAGCTATTTTTTTAATCAACTATCAATCTATAGTGGTTACAGTTACAAGTTGTACAGTTAAATAGATAAATTACAATTAATATAAATAAACATTAAATTAATAAATAAACATAAAATTAATAATAAACAAATTACAATTATTGTAACAAAGCAAATAATTTAATTTTAGTTTTGAAATTATTAGTGTTGCATACAAGGCCTTCTGCAGGCTCATGATGCTGCCATCTATTGGCTTCCTGCCGCCACAAGGGCATTAGTTGAGACTTTTTAGGTCATCAAAATCCGGGCTCTAGTGATAAGTTTTACTTGCAAAATTTAAGAAAATTTTTTTTGTGACTTTTAATGACACAAGTTACAAAATGTTCACTAGAAATTTGAGCACTCTAACTGACTGGAAAAGTTCAAAAATCAAATTCTTAGTTGAAAATCAAATTTGAACAAAGAGAGCATTTGAAATTTTAAAACTATACCTAAACTGTTTATCAATATATGGTAGTTATTAAAACAAATCAAGTGACAACAAACCAAAACTTACTGTTTTCTGGTAAAGTAGAAATAAACTTTAACGATTCTTGAAACATCAAATTGGTGGCATATTTTATGCTATGGATATCTTGAATAGAATTCTATAAAAGTAAAAGCACATTTAAAATATTCGATAAATTCCTTACATGTTAGAAACAAAACTAAAAAGAAAACCTAACATATTGAAAATATTATCAAACAAGAAATTGGATACAAAAATTTAATATGATTTTTGCTCTTTACAAAATATTTCATCAATAGAGGGCACTGCAGTATGTTTAAATGGAAAACTTATTTTAAAGGCATTAAATAATAAGTTTAAATTTGAATCTGTTTGTAATACAATAAATAACAATCTGAAATCAAATATGGTTAACTCAAATTAATTGATTTCATTCACAGTTCCAAGTCATGGTATTTAGATTGAGTAATTATTATATAAGATCTTTTTAGCTGCAAGAAACTAAAGGTAAGTTGTTACAACTAAAATTTTGTCACACCTACAAATCATTACCGATCTAAACATTTCTAATGAACACATGGACAATGCCCCATTTAAGGGCTGGTTGAATTTTGATTGAAGTTTTTTGGAATTTTGGTTAGTAAAATTTTGTTACAACTACAAATCATTACCGATCTAAACATTTCTAATGAACACATGGACAATGCCCCATTTAAGGGCTGGTTGAATTTTGATTAAAGTTGGTAGGAATTTTGGTTGGTGAAATTTTGTTACAAACACAAAAAATTATTAATTTAAATAATTTTAATTAACACATGGACAATGCATCATTCAAGGGTTAATATTTAGCAAAACTGTTATGTTGCCCTACTTTTTGCAAAGCATAACATGTAAATAAAATAATAATACAAAATGTGATAATGATAAGAAAAATTTCCATAAAAAAAAAATTTCCTGTAACAAAGTTTTTTTTACTAAAAATATAAACTTTTGTTCAGAATTTATGTATGCTTTGCAGTCTTTCTACAAGTTTTGTCTTGCATCTAAATTTGAATGCGTTTTGCTTTGAACGACTTTGGGTAATTAAAATTAGTTAGCATATAGCTATTTACAACACTAAATGAGCTAAATTTTGCATGTCAATAAATATTTTTTTACTTTGAGAGAAAATAACTTCTGTTATAGACTTTCTACATAGATTCCATTACTGACAGATGACAACTTGTGTTTTGTTCTTAATTTTTGTAGAAAAAGAAAAGAACTTTTGTAATAAAAGTTATTTCTCTTAATTAAAATTTAAAAAAAAATGAAACTGAAAATTTTGAAGCCTTAAAGAAAAGGTATGAATACATAAAGTTGATTAATGACAAAATCATTAAAAAACACCAATTATCAACAATAAGCTTAATACAGTACCTCTAGCTTAGAAATATGAGACAGTGCAGATTCAACATTAGCGTAAGCTTCTTCAAGAAATTGTGTTGGTGAAACAATCTCTATGAAAATAAGTGAATATAAATTGACAATTTAATCATAGTATTACTCAGTTTAAAATATGAAGTGCTCCATGCATATGCTTTTAAACAATTATTATTTTATTGATAAACGGTTCATACATAGGATAATTTAATAGACATATCTTTGATGAACTCTTTGGTTGCGACAGAAGTTCATCAAAGATATGACAAAAAAAAAAAAAAAATAACAATGATCTATTATTAGAAATTGTTAATAAAAATATAATTTGTTTAAAAGTAATTTACAGTGTTTAGTTTATTAAATTATTAGAATTAAGTTAATTAGTTTATTAGAATTAATATTCTTTACTACATATACTAGATTTTGATTAAATAATTTTTTAAAGTTGCTTATTTACATTACTTTGAAAGGTCTACAATATAAAAGAGTCTAATTTAACTATATCAAGTATTTTGAAAATGTCTAAAAATAATTTAAAAAAACTTTTAATTTTATAACAAAGTAAGAATCAGTCATGAAATATTGATGACAATTACATTACAAAATGTAAGTCATAATTTTCATTTCAAAATTATAAGTTCTACTTTTGCTGGCCTGCACTCTTTAAAACGACTCTCTTAAAGAGTAACTTTTCAATTAAAACCACTGATAAAGACTCATTAACTTTTCTATGGCAACATTGTTACTTTATTGCGCATCAGAAAAGTCTAAAATTAAATATTTAATTATTTCAGAGAAAAGATTTAAATGGCTGTTTCCTTTGATATCTCAACATATAAAAAATAAAGCATTTTGAATTCCCTTTCATTAAAAGAAGAGCCATAAGACTCCCCAGATTTTTTAATCTTCAGTGGGCGCGATGGTCAAAAAGTTTGTGAAATATGAATTACTTCATGTTAATAATCAAACATATAAAGTACATCATCACGCTGAAATTGAAATAAAATTTTACTCATTGGAATCAAAGACTGAAATCAACTCAAAGGATGCACTCACAATCTGTACAAATTTCTTTTGTTGTTGTTGTCATAGACTATCAAGGCATATTGTACAATTGTTCTTGTTTTTTCAGTGGCGCTATCTATGGCCAAGTAAATTGACTTCGGCCACACTCATACGTCGCATCCGTTTATAGGGCAAACCTATTCATACATCCATTCATTCACAAATCGTAATTTTAACTTAGACCAGAGAACAATCAATCTCCAATTCAGTACCCCCAGAGGTATTGATTTGTTATGAGAAGATGGAAAGCTTTGTGATCCGACAGATTTAATGTGCACCAATAAACTACTTAGGGAGTCTTTAAACTACAATTTAGTACACAGGGAGTCTTTAGCCGGCTGGATTTGAACTCGCGTTCATGAGAACGTAAGTCCAGCACCCTGTCAACCAGGTTATCCCAACCCGACAAATTTCTTTTCAATGGGTATAATGAATTTTAATAATCATACTTCTCTTGATTGAAAATTGCATTTTCACGATCTGAAAAACATTAGCTCCCTTTGCATAGTTTGAGTTAAAATATGAAGTCTCTCCAGTTACCAAAAATTATTGCTCTGAACCAGAATATTTTAAATTTATTTTTTACTTTTAATGAGTTATTTTAAATTGTGCTTTTACTTATATGATAAAAACAAAAAAATTGAGTTTATTTAAGTCCAACTTTTCGTTCTCAAAAATTAGTGTAGTATTTTTCACTATGAGTAAATAATTAATATATCTAACATTGACAGTATCAATAAAGAAAAGAAAAAAATAATTTATATTGTGATCATCTATAATAAAATTTCATTTGATAAATTCTAGCAAATAAATGAGATTAGTATAGCAAAAAAATTTCATTTTGATCTGAATAATAATAATCAAGAAAAAATCTTTAATGAATGTATACCTTTTTCACTGCGACACAAAGAAAATAATCTGACTGCATTACGGAATTTTACAACACTGTCAATAAAACATACAAATTCTTGCCTAAGTCTCTAAACAAGAAAATAAATAATACATTTGAATAATAATGAAAGCAAATTCTAAATCTAAATGAAAAATATATAAATTAAATAGCTAAAAAGAAAAATCAATCATTGTATATAAATAATGAGGTAATGGATATTTTAAAATTAACATATATTAGAAAATGGTTTGATTTGTTAAATATAGTTTAATGGTACAAAAATTGGTTAGAACTGTGCCATGCCAAATTTATGGAGTGAAAGTTATTATAATACTGATTTAAAATAATAAAATCAAACACCTCTAGAAATTAGAGTAAGAATAAAAAAACAATGAATAAAAGAGGGAAAAAAACAAAACAAAGGATGAAAAGTATAAAAGGGCATCACAGAATAGTGGAATCTGCATTTAAATTGCTTCCAGAAAACAAACCTCTTATGTATAACAAAAAGGTATATAATTGTTTTTGGTATACAAATTGTTAAGTTAATATGATAGTTAATTTGTTATTAATCTATTTTTAATTAATGTAAAGAAATCCAATCATGTTACAGTAATAAAATGGTATTCTTTAATTTAATGGGTAATGCATAAGTTCATTTTGGGTTCAAGCACTTAGTTCATGTTTTGTTTCTAATTGTAATTCTTCTTTTTATATGAATTACCAGAAAATTTTCTGCATAGAAATTAAATATCCTAGTTTAGTTAAAAAGAAAATTTAAAATTAAAAAATTGATACAATCATATACTTATTAAAATTAAATTTTAAATTCAAACACATTTATTTTTACAAATTTAAATGTTACAAAAAAAAATACATATAATAATTGCTGAAAAAAATACTGTATTGCCGATTAAAAAACAATTACTTCAAAACTACAAATTAGAAAATAATTATAATCTTACAAATTAAATTACAAATACAAGTATAAATATTTTTTTTATAATATATTACCTTTTTACACATTATTTTGACACCAAATATGTCAAGTGCATGTTCAACATAATTTAGACAAGCTGCTACAGATGTTACCCCTTGCATATCTGATAAAGAAGAATCATTTGCAGATTGAAGAGCTTTATTGACAACGTCAACTAAGTCATTTAAACATAATAATGCTTGGCTGGTGTTGAAATCATCACTTAAGTGTGAAACAATTTTTTCTTTAGTTTCCTCCAATCTAAGCTTGAAAATTATAAATGGGGAAATCATTAAATATATAGAATGGTTTTCTAAAAAAATTTAAAAAAAAAATTATTACATTTGAAACTGAATAAAGATAATAAAAAATAACAACATTAAAATTAAAAAACAGTTATTTACACAATAACTTAAATTTAATAGGACCAACAAAAAATTCAAATTATCGTTTAGTTACCATTTCTGACTAAGAAAAACAATTGTTGGATATTTCTATTCAGATATATTAATGAAAGAGCTTTCAAAATATTATAAGAAGAGCTGATTTCAACAAGGGAAATTACACAACTTCCTTTTTTGGACACTAAGTCAGATTAAATCCATTTAAGGATATTTTATTTTTCTTTAGATACTCCCAAAAGAGAAAATTTTATATTTAAATGCTATACTATTCTTTTTTATGGTGGGATTTCTAGCCATATTAATAATAAGAATAATTATATCTACTAAGATAAGAGATTTTAACTTTTGCTTAACTTGCAGATCATCAGTGATAACTTTTTCCTTAATCACTACCTTCTTGCTCTCATTAAAATGATGGGGTGAAGTTTCACCCTCTATTTCTCGTACCTATCACCTTTCCAGGCTGAAATGTTTAAAAGTAATGCACCAAAAGATTAAAATAATTATGTCCGAAATCATGTCTATTTCTCAATCTATACATTAGATGGCTGCATTAGACTGTTTATAATGTGCTTGGTGATTGTTTATTTAACTCTACATGTCAGCATTCAAACATGTAAGCTAAAAACTAACCAAAAAAACTAAAAATTATTGTATATATTGTACATACAGCTTGTTTTATGTAATTTTTTTCAATAAAAAAAAACTTTTTTATGACCGCTTTCTTCAAAATTATGCAACCATTAAAAGATCGATGCACACTCAAACAGAAAATTACAAACACAGAGTTCTTTTAGCATTTAAAATAAATGAGATAAAATAGATACATACATTTATATAGAATTTCATTTAGAAATTTCGCAAGGCATTTCATTATTGATGTTGACAATGTAAACAATATAGACTGATATTATCTCTTTCTATTACAATGATTCTATTTGTTTTGCCACTTTAGTTAATTGAGCATAAATTGCTACCTTATTTGGTAGTCATTAATTATTTTTAATTTTTACACTATAAGGGATTGAGTCATCTGCATAAAAAAATCTAGTTAAAGAGAGTAGAAACAGAGTAATTGAGAATATGCAAACATAAAGTAACACGAAATTAAAAATAAAATGATTGGGGCTTCGTAAAAAGAAAATCAAGTTACAATAAGTTGACTGTACTATTATAACAATCCTATTACATCTGTGAAAAAAAAAGAAAAATTTTAGATATCAATATCCTGGTTTGGCATTAGAAAAAAATCTACTTGTATCACATTTTGTCCAACTTATACACTATAGATTCTTTTGTAAAAAATGAGAAATTTTTTACTTTACAATTCTTTAGAAATTGTGGTCATCAAATGTTATGCTTTATTACTACTGAAACTAACAAAAATGATAACTGTAACTAAACCACAATGAACTTAAGTTGAAAAGTAGAGGTTTGTTGTTAAAGATGGGAACAACACACAAAATCGAACAAAGAAGAATGAAAGGGAAAGAAATTTAGAATGTTTGTGACCATAAATATTTTTCTTCAATTTATTACTATTTAGTTTAAGTAACACAGCCTAATTATGCTTAGTAAAATATTCAATAAAATAAGAGTAAAATACATAAAGAGTATTTAACATTTTTTAAAAGTTTTTTCTAACATACTCACTTGAGAAACAAACTTTTCTCCAACTCAGTTGAAATTCTTAATTTATTGTAAATGTATAAATCACATTCATTAACGAAATTATGAAGTTTTTCATGCAGTCCTCTTGCACCTTCTATTGTTTCATTACAATATGAGATATCTATTGGAAATACATAACTTGTTTAATTTTTATTCTAAAAAATTTAAAGAGAGAATAAGTGATAGAATGAAATAAAAATAATGGCAGCAGATAAAACTAACATGAAATAAATACTTCCAAAATTCTTTTAAATTCAGAGCTGTAATATAGTAGTACTTTATTTACCTCACACTAAGAGTTGCAATCTAAACATAAGTTAAATTTATTTGTTATAACAGGGCGAGTAGCCAGATTTCTCAACAAAAAATAAGCACCTTTTAAGTATTTTTAAGTACTTCAAAATATTTTTAATCACTTTCCAAAAAGAAGTTATGATTAGAATCTGTACAGTAATAAAAATTATTTTTTTCTATCCTTTAAAGTTCTTAATTTATAAACATAAAATCAATAAAATTCAAAAACATTTTCAAAAACTTAACATAATCATGAAAAAATAACTAGTTCCTGATAAATATTGCAGAGAAAATTGTGAAAATCATGCATTTTTTGTAATTTAGAAGGATAATTGATAAAGCAAAGAAAAAATCTCTTTCTAAAAGATGGAAAATTAAGCACTTTTTACAATCCCCCCCAAAAAAACCTTTAAAGGCTTTTAAATGCAAATCAAAAATACGCACCTTTAAGCACTTTTTAAAAATACTATGCATCCTGTATAAATTGTAGACATAGTAGTATTTTTTCACTCATTTTATATTGGCAAGATAAAAAAAGAAAATTTAGTTATAAATAATTTAAATTTATAAACAGTTTTTTTAAAATTAAAATCTAGTTCAAACAAATGAAAAAGATATTAGCATTACTTCTTCGATACAGAGATTGGAGACACATAATACGAAAATCATTTACGCTGTTTGTTCTCAAATATTCATTGATAGAAATTGTATTTTTGATAGATTTTGACATCTTTTCTTCATTTCCAACATGTAAGAGACCTAAAATTATTAAATAAAATTACTTTATAGTATAATACATTTAATGTTACATGTCATAACTTGAAAAAAAAAATATTTTGAATTTAATAGTTTAAACTGTAAAAAATTCAAACATGGTAAATAAATTAGGAAAATATATATGAAGGGATTGGTTTAGCATAATGAGCCACATTTATAAAAATGTTGAGAAAAATGTTTTTGGAGATAAACACCATGATTTCAAGTAGGTAATTAGATATTTTTTCATACTAAGCTGCCATCTAGTAGAAATACTATATAACTTGAATCTATCTGGAAACAATAATTGATGTAAAAATGTCAATTTTGGAAAAACTATGGCTTATCACTATAATGCTCTCAAAATCTTTCATATAAATGAACATCAGACAGAAAAAATTAATGATCTTTAGAGCCCCAAAAGCATATTTTCATAAAATATATTATTTCTAATTGTAAAACTTGTTAGGAAATTTAAAGCAAACTGCACAGAAAAGAAACTTAAAAGTTACTAAAACACTAAGCTAAGGTCTTTTTCTGCCATATGTATATAAAATAACTAATTCGTAAATCTACAATAACTATTAAAATATTTCAATACTATTACTATTACAATCATAACTATTAGAATAGCATTATCAAAAAAAGGAGATATACTGTAATGACTTTATAATTAGTATATTAGCAGTTAAGAAAATATATTTTGATGAGGAAACACTCAGAATGAGGTTTATATAAAGGTAAGAATATAAAATTCAACATCATCCTTTTAAAGAACAGGACCTCTAACACAAAATCAATCTAAGTAGCATTAATTAAACTGCTAAGCTGTTAAAAACAAAAAAGTTAAAATAAAAGTTACTAATTCCTTGTTTAAAAAAGCAGATTTTGATAACAGTTGGTATGTGTTCTGAAATTTCCTTTTACCAGAGCTTCAGAAATATAATTTGAGCTTCATGGAATACTTTTTTTTCTAAGTACTTTAATTGAATACTCAAGAAACCTTTTAGTCACAAATAACAAGCCAGTGGTATGCAGTGAATATTTTCTTCAGAGACATTCAGAGTCATTTTTTTTTAAATTTTAATATCACCATTAGCATTTCAAAAAAATAAAAAATAAAAATAAAATAAATCAGAGCTTCAATTGAATTTAAAAGTTATTCTATAGGAACAGACAAAGTTTTGCTGCAATTAAAAAAGAAAAAAAAATTGTGCTACATTTTATGATCATTTATGATTGAAATATGTTTAACCTTATTTTACAAAACAATGTTTTTATTTCTGTTTATTTCTTGGTGAAAGAAACATTATGTATCGGAGTTGACAATAATTATGAGATTGCTAAGTATGTATTTTAAATAATAAAGCTCCTAATTGAATTCAATCAAAATGCACGTTAATTAATACTCATGAGAGAAAAAAATGAATAAAAATATGATTATAAATATTTTAACAACCTGAATGGAGCCAGTAGTTAACCCATTGTGAACATCCATGAAATGCTTCAGATTGAGATTTTTCATTTGTATGATGAGGAAACAAAAGGTCATAACCACCTGAATGAATATCTATTTGGCAGCCAAAGATATTACTAAAAAATATAAAATACAGAAATCAATGTCTTAAAATTATAAAATAATTTAAGTAAAAAGAAAATTTATTTAAAAGAATCTAATAGATGGATAAAAATTATTTAAATTATAAATATGTTTTTCATGAAATAAATATTGTCAACTCAGCAAAGATAATGTAAATATTTGTTGTGAATAAATGCAACTAAAGCTTTACAAACTTTAGTAAATTTGTGAAAATATTTAGTACATTTCTTTAATTGCAAAAAAAAAAAGAAACCCTACAAAATATGTGATTCTCAAGTCGTGCATTAACAATGCACATTGGTTAATATGATTGAAGTCAACAAAATAAAAAATGAATCATTATTAACAACTTTAGATTTAATGAATAATCCAGGAAGCAATGTTAATGAGTCAGGGAACAGAACTCAACTAAGCAGTATACCCCTTAATAAATTTTATTTGTTTCAGATTTATATTTTTCTAAAAGATTCATAACATTAATTTATATTTAATTTCTTATCAGAAATATTTCTTCAAACAATTTAATGATTCTATAGTCTTTAATACATAAAAATGCAATACCTAGCAATTGCCGAACATTCAATGTGCCAACCTGGTCTACCTTTTCCCCACGGTGACTCCCAGAATGGTTCTTCGGGTTTTGCCTTTTTCCAGAGAGCAAAATCACGTTGATCTCTTTTTAAAGGATCAACAACAACTTGAAAATCATTGGGCATTTCATTAAATAGATTTGCAGAAGTACTTTTAGACACAATAAAATACACATTTCCTAAAATAAAAGAGACAAATCTAACTTCACATAACATTATGTAATTGCAACAATTTTTGGAAAGAAAGAAAACAGCTTTAAACAAAAATGGAATATTAAAGATAATTTTTATTATAGTGAGCTTTCTTAATAGAAAGATTAAATTTTTATAAGCATAACATTTAAAGATAGTAAAATGCACAAACAGTTCTTTATAAAATACAAAATTTAAAATATGGTAATAAGAAAAATAACAAAAATCACTTTAGATTTTGCTTCGTAATATACCTTTTTGGAAATATACTTAACATTGTGGGTTAAGAGCAGAGGTTAATTCATTATGGAACATTTTTACTTTGAAGAAAGTAATTAATTTTATGTGAATTTGTTATAGTATTAGATACCACCAAGCCAACATCTCCTGTATTTTCCTATTGTACACAAGTGTGTTAACAGAGAAAATTTACTACTGAAATAGTTCTTTAACCATAGTTGAGATAAAAATAACAAGGAATTGCCCTCACAGAAAGATATCCACCAGCAGAAATCATGCAGAAAGAAAGTAGGCACTGCATATTATAAAATTAAACTGCCGACTATTGCTTACTTATGTATGAAAAAAATTACTATAAAATATATTGAAAGAAAGAAATGATAATTTAATTTTATATTCATATTATAATATTCTTAATGTTTAAACCTTAATAAGGTAAATAGAGTTTTTAAAAAATCTATTGAAAATTTCTTGTCCTTCATAAACAATTTTATTTTATGCATATAATTATCCCAGACATTTTGTTGCATAAAAATGGCTTTCTTCACTCTGCATTGACTGAATTCCTAGATGTTTAAAAGGAAATATATAAATAAAAAACACAATGCTTTTGTAAATTGGTCAACTATTAAATTTTTCCTCATATTGATAAATAATTTTTTTTAATAAGAACTGTAATTGCAGATAACTAATTTTAATGAACTGAAGATTTTAGAAGAAATGTAATTAATATTAATAATAAAATATAATTATTCACCTTCATCTGTGACGTAAGCAAAATCTTTTTCAATAAGTTTAGTACAAAACTCAATTATCAAAGGTATATTTTCAGTCACTCGAGATATGGCAATAGGTCGCTTTACTCGCATAGCTTCCATGTCTTTAAAAAATCCAAATTCATAGTGTTTAGCAATTTCTGAAGCACTTAATCCAGCCTATAAATGTGTCACAAAAATAAATTATAAACTAAATCACTTATTGAAAGGAAAATTTTATTGAAATGAAAATTTATTTTGAGAAAACTATACCTCAATTGATTTTTTGATGATTTTGTCATCTATATCAGTGATTCCCATCAATAACAAAACATTGATGTTGAATACTTTTTCCAAAACTCTCTTTATAATATCAAATTTTACATAGCAACTGCAAAAAAAGTACATGAATTAAAGCTTGTTGTTATTTTGTGAAGAATTGATTATATTTTTATATTAAACCTAATAATTGAATGCAATTATAATAGCTAATTTTCAGTGGCGTATTAAAAATTTTATTTGTAAGGGGACTAAAATTTCTCAGTCATGAAGGTGCAAAAATAAAAGAATTATTATAAAGTTTAAAATTTTGTGAAAAATATTCTTCATATTTAATTTACAAATTAAGATAAATTTATTTAAAAAGACATTGTCATATTTCAACACCGTGTAAATTTAATTAGAGTTTGAGAATAATTGAAGATCAAAGGGCAAGAACCGTTATGTCCATAAATGCTTATTTTGAGGAAAATTAATTTCAAGGTTTGAGATTTTTTAGGAGCAAGCATTCAATTTAAATCATAATATTGATAAAAGTAAAAATATAAATGAATGTCACAAGTTATTTACATCCACAAAAAACATCAAAACAAAATTCAGAATTTTTAATAATGAGAAGAAAAAAAAAAAGAAAATCAGATTGGGGAAGAACTGTTTTTTTTCTTTCTAACAATTCTTCCTCAATCAATACTTCTTCACTAATATTCCGTCTTTTTCACTATAACATTCTTTGTTCTTCCTGTTTACACATGAACAGGTAATACTATATTACTCTCAAGGAGAACCATTCCACATTATTGATTTCTCAAGTAATCCTCAAAAAGCAATAGAAGGTTATCTAATTGTCATTTTTAAGAAAAATGATCAGAAACCGTTTCTCCCCCATTGTTCTTGAATTGTTAAGGAAAGAATACGAAATTAACATTTCAGGCACAATGAAAGTTTAGAAGTGAATAGTTAGACTGGTAGTATCAAATTGTGTTAAAATTAATTGTAGTTAAAATTGTTGTAAAAATTGTTTAAAATTTTTACAACCATTTTAACTTACAAAATATTCCTGATCAATTAAAATTATTAGAGATAACACTTTCTTCCTTTCCTTTTTTTAAGCTATGTTTATGATTCAAATAAAACAGAAATAACAAGCCAAAGGTAAAACAGGATAGAAATGATTTTGTTTTAGAATCCTATTCAGTTTAGAACCCAACTCGAAAAAAAAAACTATTAAAGAAATTAGGTTTAATGAAAACAAATTCTTTTTTATTTACAGCGGCATGTAAAGTCATTTAGATTTACATAACTGATGTAATGCAAAATACAAGCCTTAAGTGAAACTGAAAATAATTCATTTAAATTAGACTGATTAGTTTAAATCAGTGGTTTCCAACTTACATGAGGTCGGGGATCACAATTAAAAACACAAATCAAATGGCGGGCCGCAACTTTATCAAAATTTTATGTAGGACTCTTGTATGTTTGAAGGAACATTAAATATTACTGTCAGATTTTTACCAAGTTGTACAAAACAAAAGTATTGAATTACAAATTAAAATAAGAAGTAGATTTTTAAAAATATTTAACTGCATATTAAAAAATTTGGGCTACAATAACTTTAATGTGCACCTATGTATTAAACAATTAATGTGCAACAGATATCTAATTGTTAAGATATAAAACTTTAAAAAGGTTGGTATTAAAACTTACATAGTAGCACACAAAATGTTCAATGAGAAAATTGCGGTTTGTCTGCTGCAACCACCAGAGAATAGATATTTACATTTTAAATTTAAAATTTACAAATGTGTGTGTAAATATTTTCGTCCAAAATGAGTGGTTTCAAAAAGTTAAAATTGGAGAATTTCTTTGAGAAAATTTCTGATACAAACATGCTAAATTATATTCACAAAATACAAAAAAATGAAGTAAAAAAGAGCAACATACAGAATTATTTTTGTATTTGAATAAATATTTTCTTGGATGCAAAACCTGAGAAATAAATTTTTTTGCACCGTTGGTAAGTTAAATTTCACAGAAAGGAAGAAATTAGGTTTTTATTAACGAGAAAAGTATTTCAAACCAATACAGATTTTTTACGAAAATTGTCCGCAAAAAGTGACAACTAATATATTTTAGATCGCGGGCCACAAAAAAAGCTTTGCAGGGCGGATGCAGCCCCTAGGCTGCCAGATGAAACCACTGGTTTAAATTAAAAAAAAAAAAAAAAACTATCATTTTAACTTTATTTCCTTAATTTCTATCAGTCTTTTTTTTTTTTTTTTCCAAGATGAATTGGGAGGCCATATACTGGTATATGGCTTTACCTGCTAGTGATTTTAGAGCTGTGCATACATAGTAACAGTAAATATGAAATATTACATCAAAAATAAAGATTAAACTTAACATTACCAGGCATGTCCAATGTGTGATTCATCATACACTGTAGGTCCACAAATATACCTGAAATTAAAAATTATTAGATTTAAAAACTCTTAAATATAATAAATAATTCTCTCTAAGTAAAAGAATGAAGGAATATATTACAAAATTACTAATTGATTCCAACTGCTATCTGGTTTTTATTATTTATTTAAATATATGCAAGCTAGATGTTAACAGATACAATCACGGAGATTTTTAAATTTTGCAGATAAGTAATTTGTTTCTCCAATATGTGATTCGTCATACACTGTTGGTTGACAAATATTTGATATTTTTAAGAAATTTGTTTTTTAAAAAATATAGCCATATATTCAGAATAAAAAAGCATTTGTGAGATTACCTATTTTCAGAAAAGATATTTTCTAAACATTGGTTGTTTAGCGAAAATAAGAAGTAAATATTTATCTTTATATTGTTTTTATGCATGATGGGGGTATTTAAAAATCTTCAATGTTTTTGCCATGAGTTTGCAGATGCTTTTAGATTTTGTGCACTGATAATTTATTTATTATTATTTTTTATTTTACTCTGATAGCAAAATATTATTTTATTATTTATAAACAGGTGTGATATTTTTTGTAAATTTCTCATAAAAAATATATTGATGAATTTTTTATTTTTTTTTAGGATACTAAAAATGTCAGGTAATTTGGTTTGCGTATTCAAAATTTCTAAATATTGGCCTTTTTTCTCTTTTCCTCAAAAAGACCTGTTCATTTCAAAACCTAAATTTTTTTTAACGTCTGTTGAAGTGTTTCACTTAAAAAAGTTTACATGTCAACTTTGCCACACCTGTCTAAAATTAACAATCACAGTAAAAAATAAAATTAGAGCTTTTTATAAATATATTTTCAATCTCTCCTTTCTAAAGTTACATTAAATGCAAATATTAAGATAGGGAGAGGAATAAACATAATGTGAAATTTCTTTAATATATATATAAATTTAAAATTGTATAACAACTCACCACGTTACTGTTCCTTTGTTTTTTAAAACTAATGACACTTTCTCATTTATGGCAGAATTATAAACCATAATTCCAGAGTCATATCCTTGAGGTGAATTCCAATTACCTAAGTAAGAAAAATGCTTGGTTGAAACGGCAATTGAAGAAGAAACAGTCAGGAAAAGTCTCTTGTATAAAAGGGATCCTCTTTGGAAAACCAATCTCATAGTTGCTTCTGTAACTCTTCTTTCAAAGAGTTGAAAATTACTAGAAAGGGAAAAAAATGTAAGTTTTTTACAAATGCAACATCAGAGACAGATTGAATTGGTTTTAACAAAAAACAAAAATCACAAAATGTGAATCTTGACAAATATATAGAAATTAATTTAGAGTCTTCATTATGGTCACACCTTCTTAATTGGTAAATCATTGACTTAGATAGTAAAATATAAACATTTGCCAGTTCCAATTGATAACTTAGAGTAGAGAAAGAAGATGTACATATATATTTTAATGTAAGCAATCAGAAACTAATTTTGCATGCGATCTGGATCGAAGAATTTTGAAATAAAAGTAGGTTGAAGAAACAGACTGACACTAGTACGGTTAATCTGCAAATGATTTATCTATAACTTTTAACTTATATTTTTCTTCCTGTAATTATGTAAAAAGGGGAGATTTCCGTAGCGTGATCTGTGGCTGAATAACCGCCAAGTCTTGGCAGCTTCCGTGCAGCAGCCCACGAGAAACTAAAAAATAAAAATTCATAGAAAGGGGCCAACTCGAAGGGTATAACTTGTAGCCAACCCTGGGCAAACATTTCCATGTTTTCAATAAAAAAATTTACAAGTTTAAAATCTATTTGGCACCTTGGCAATTGTAACTGGCGCGCCAGATCACGGGACAGAAATATCCTCTGTTAAAACTACAATAAATGTTTAAAATCCGTTAAAAAAGAAAAAACATTTTTTTCTTCTAATTTTTGTAGCTAAAATAATTTTTTTCCTACACTTAAATTACAATCTACCCTAAATATTAAATAAGTAGGTATATTTATTTCTTAACAGTTGAAATTGAATTAAATATCTTTTCTTTGAATCTATTGGTAAGGTTAATTTACTAGCGATCTTTTTAAAAAAATAACTCCTAGAAAAATTCAAAACATTTAATACCTTTTAAATCCTAAAATTATGTTTAAAGTTATATGATCGTTTCAATAATAACTTCAAGAGATAACCACGACAAGTAAAAATACATGAAATAACTAGAAAATAGGACGAATAAATATCTCAAAACTAATTTAAATTCCAAGTTTTTTTCAAAACTTAATTAAACAGCTCAATACGAACTTAAACTAATTAGCTAGTTACAACCTTACAACTTTAGACAAACAAAAATTCGATGCCTGGTTAGAAATTTAGAGAATCTTAAGGCCTTAATAAAACTTAGCTTGTAACTTACTAAATGTTATAATTTGAGATGGTGAACGCAAAAAAGCAGATCACAGATGAAGGATTAAAAATAGCTGCAGGATTAAAAATTATGGGCCTAAAAAGGTAGGAATGAATTGTAGTAGAATTAAAAGTTATAAAATTTAAAGTACATTCTCGCTTTTTGAAATTTTCTCAGACGTGCGTGCGAATATTAGGCATTGGCGTAAGATCGCATATACAAACCTCATGCAGTAAGAATGTTCCATCAATTGAATTTGGTGAAATATAGTGGATAGTTGTAAAGAGACGGAGGGTGTGCGGTATTGGTCCTCGTTAAACTGTTATACCGTAAAGTGCTCGACTTCGCGTGCAGGTAATTGGGCTACCGAAGAGGGGGTGCCATCCCCTCTGCAGAGGATCAAAATTGAGATGGCATGTCTTCGGATCATCCTTAGGGATGTTTCCCAGACCATCGCCAATAGTCCATTGTGCACCTCTAGTGCGACGTAAATGAACTACAACAACTACAGCTACAAAAACCTTCTTCAAAAAAAAAAAAAAAAAAAAAAAAAAAAAAAAAAAAAAAAAAAAGTAATGTAATGTTTACCTTTCCTGAATGGATGGTGTTTTTTACACTAAGAAACGCTGCAAACTCTATACCGCCTATATTACCGGGTTACTGTTTCCGGTGTATTTTAAAGCCATTTGGCTCACAACGTGATCATTGGGTTTTGAAATTCTTGCAATTGTGGTATTTGATTACTTATTACTTGCGTTTACAATGCTAACAATACTTGTGTTTACAATGCTAAAGGTGCTAACACTGACACAAGAAGTGCTAACACTGACGCAAGATGGTGCACAGCTTGCAACACGAACAAACAGTAATAAACAAATGGAAAGAGACCAAATCAGGACTGCCAAAAAAGCGAGCAACCATGCCACCTTTTTTAACAATATATCTATAAATAACTAAAACAAATTTTCACTTCAAACTCACCAGAATTACTTAATAACATCAATATCAGCTCTGAAATTATCTAATTTACTTCTATTATTGAAAACAAAATTATCCGTTTGAAAATATCGCCTCGCAGAATTAGCTGTAGTAAGCAGTTGCAAACTAGAGCAGGTATAGAGCTCAAGATTGTTATTGTCTGCATTTATATCGAAAACACCATCCATAATAAAGTAGGCAAACCTCATTCCTACTCACTGCTTTGTTTACTTTTTCGAAAAAACTGATTTACCTGTTGTTGTTGTTCCTTGTCCTCCAATTGTCTGACGGAGTGAGACAAGATCCAATAGGTTGTTGACCCCCAAAAAGTCATGGAAGAGGTAAAAAGCAGCTTCTGTTGGGTTGAGCACCATAAAGGTAGAAGTCTGTCTTGGCTCTAGTTGGTGTTTTTTTTTAGTCTGGCACCTACCCTTCGGCCTGTCCGGCTTGGGAGACCCTACCAGTAGCAAGCTACCGCTGGTATAGCCCTCCAGGTCAATGGTGCTCACAAGCCTCGCCGTCCCGTCAAGGCAGGAACACAGTCGGGAGGAACTGGTTTACCTTATTTTATTTAATAAAAATGCTGAATTTCACTCGTTTTTTCGTAGAGAAATTAAAGAAATCATTATTTGCGAAAATAGAATGCCTCTCACTTGAAAGGTAGTGGGTCTAAGAAAGATTTATTAGCGTTGCATAATCCCGCGAATATATAATTAAAGGTAATATCAGTATACGGATTTTTTTTAACTCACATAGATCTCTCTTTTATCTTTTCTGTCATGGAAAATAATCAAATAAAGATTAATTAAAAGAGAAGAAAAATTATTAAAATAAAATATTTTCAAAGGTATTTAAAAAGAATCATTAACAAAAATTACTAAAAAGCAGAAGAACAAATTAATTAAAAGTTACAATCTCGTCATCAGCTCCCACATATTCGCTAAAAAGAGTGCTTTCTAATATTGTATTGATATAGCCAAAGCAAAATATATCAATGCAATAGTATGAGGAGCACTAAAAAAGTAGAAAAAAAAATAGAACACATTAAGTAGAGAGAGAGAGGGGAGGGGGAATTAAACAAAACATATTCCTCAAAAAACAGAAACTAAAATGCAAGAAAAGTACAGAACAAAACAGAAAACGCAAATCTATAAAGCGAGTAGCGAAATCAAATAAACTTACACATACCGGAATCTTTTAAGAATGATTTAAAATATTTTTGCAATAAGTTTGCCAGATTACAAAATATGAAAACAGAAGCATAAATAAAATTTAGAAGCATAAATAATCCTTTTTTTACTCACTGTATTCTATTTTCGTTTCAACTTTTAGAGTACACCTCACAGACGGTCCCGTTCTTTTCGAAATTAATTTTAGTAAATATTCTGCTTGTATATTAAGATTAATTTATTTTTATTTATTGGATATTATCTGATATTTAAAATACCGTAACAATAAAAATCTATAAAATGTAAAATAAGGTGCTTATTAAAATTTCATATAAGTAGAAGTTTAAAATGATGAATGAGAAGGGATAAGTGGAATATGTTAAAATGTTTATTTTTTATTCGTTAATATTGACTTCACAATACCTTGACTCCACTTTTATATATATTCCTAAAGAAGTTCGAAAGTTAAAAGAGTGGTTCCAGGAATAAGTTGGTAACCTCTGTGCATACCTCAAATTTTGGACACTGAATTGTGTTTTCCAGCTAGGGAGTTAGTAAAAAGAGAAAAGGCAATGAAGTATAAAACTTAGGTTGTCCTTCACAATCTGGAATTCATAAAAATATTTTACATTTTAAAAATGATTTTTGTGTAATTTGATAACAGCTGTGCCATACGCTTCAAATTTATTTAAAAAAATATTTGAGGACTGTCAATATTTCAAATCATTAATTTACTTAATTAATAAGAATGTTAATGATTAATAGTAATATTAAAGCTGCGCTGATGAAAATGAGGTAAAATTTTTCCATTTAGATTTAATTCAGGTGTTCCTTTTTTTACCATTTAAATTTAAAAAAACTACTTTCTATAGATTTCTGATTTAGAAAAACAAGCAAACATTCTTTAAATTTTTTTTAAAAATATTCGGAAAAAAAGAATATTGGAACACCCTTAAATAAATAGATCTCGTAAAATGACTTAATATGCAACCAAACAATTTGGTGACAACATGGCATTTATAAACTACTATTGATAAATAAAGAGTTAAGCTAGACCAATAGGTTCTAATCTAATAAAGAAGCCAGATTAGTCGGGGTTTTTTGAGTGATGACGAGCAGGGCTAAAGAGAATAGAAGGGCTGGTTCACTCCTTTGAAGTATCTCTTGCCACGTCACTCTAGTGACGTCACTTTGGCGCAAAGCTCGCACTTTTACTTCAAGAACCGAGCGTTTGGCCTTACTAGCTCTAACTAATATTGGATCATTTCTTTTTGCGAGATATTCTAAGACATTTGTTATTTTCTATAATGATTTTCCTCAGATTTTGCAGTGAATTTACAAGAATTTAAAACTATTATCGAAATGTCAGTTTGCGCGATTGCAACTTGCAAAAATTCTGATATAAAAACAAAAGGAAAAAGTATAATTTTTCGCGTGTTCCCTAAAGTAAATGAACAACTATGTAAAGAATGGATTCCGAAATGACACAGTTAATATAAAACCGCAATACGTTTATTCTGTCGTAAAGAACTTTTATAAAAATTCATTATCTAAATAGAAACCGCCTCGCTACTTCATAAAGAAAGGCAGGTGAAAAGAATTAAAAAATAGATAAAGTCAAAGAAAATTAAAATGTAAGTAAAAAGTATAAATAAAATATATAGTATATAGTTGAAATTCTCCTAATTTCATAACATATTTTTTAATGTAGTTATTCTAAATATTTATGATTTTTTTTAAAAATTATATTCTCTTCAATTTAAATATCTATATATTATATCATCGTAAATTTAAATGTCTATAAACAATTGTAAAATTTCTGATGTCACTATGAACCTAAATTATTATTTTGTTTCAGTAATTAGCGTTTAAGGTTGATGTTTCCTAATGATTAAGTATGAACAAATTGCTATTAACGACATATTTTAAAATCAGGGATTCTAAATTTAACTTAACTTATCCTTATAAAAGAACATGTAGATAAAAAAGTGTCGATATATGCCTTCATTTTTCTTAATAGTTAAAGTTAAAACTGAACTTTTTAAAATAAAGTATTTATCGTGTCTTTCATTGAAACTAGCAAAACATTNGACAATTAACTCGAAATAAGAAAAAACACATATCTCGTATTAAAGTCATTATCAATTTACCGCCGATATAAACTTTAACGTTTGTTTCGTTCTCTCTACTTTTATTAATAAAAAAAATATATATTGGACATCCATTTAATAAAAATGAATGTTTCTTTTTATCTTTTAGGTTAAGAGCGATCGTAGCTTCAGCTCTAAGAGCGGAGTGAACTAGCCCTTGTATTCTCTTTAGCCCTGGATGACGAGTACTAAGATAAGGTACACATACTTGATAACACTACAACTAAAGTTAGCACTTGTTTGTAATAATTTAACCGTCATTAGCTTTGTGTAGCTAAAAGGTTCGTTTACGTATCACTTACGTATCACGTTGGACTTTATCATTTTAACCTGAAGCAGATCTCTGGTATGGAACGAGGAAGTACCATATTTAGCCTATATTTTAATAAATAAATAATGACGGAAAAATTTGTAAGGAAAAAATCTGTGAATTCTTGTAAGATTAATAAAATACCCTTATAAAATACCTTTTTAACATCTGAAGTTAATGAAAACATTTTGTTTCCATTGAAACTAGTTTAACATGTTCTATTTGTTTGATTTTCCTTACCAAACTGTTTTGTCTTATATCAGGGGTAGCACGGAATACTTGATAAAAAAATTTTCGTGTGAAAATATCTTTTGTTTAATCACAAATTTTAATATATTAATATTTATTATTAATCTTTTGCTTTCGT